CTTAGGAAGGTTTGAGTGGGACTTCTAGGCACCAGAATCTGACCTGTGTGCACAGTAAAGTGGAAACAGTGACCCATCCCAGTTAGGATTAATTAGAGTTTATGAAATTGTTGACTGGCACAGTGCTTCAAGTCCTTTAAAATAACTTGCGCTGATGACAGCAGGAGAAAGACTAATATTTGATTTGACTCTGAACTTTTCAGAGCTGAGAGAAGCCCCATTGCAAAACAGTGGAAAGAGTTTGTCATCTTTAAAATGTGCTGGATGGGCTTAGTTCTAACTGGAGAATGTGGCCTATTTGGAGGGAAAACTTCCTCCTTTTTCATGCTAAAAAGGAGATACTTCATTCTGATTTAGACCAAAAGTCTGAAACTTTAACAAATTGTCCATGGAGGGAAGTATGGTAATTTATCATTTTAGCGTTGATCAACTTGCAGTCTCTGGATATGTCAGAATAAAGCTTACTGCTATCACTGCTAGTTTTACTGGACCAAAAAGCTGTGAAAATGCCAGGTAAAAATAAAATATCTCATGTTTTCTCTTCAAATTTATTTTAAAAACCCAACCACAACTGAAAACTCTATTAACCTCTGCAAATGAGGAAGACTTTAATAACATTCTCAGAGCTTGGCATATTTTGGAAGAAGGCAAATGACTATGAAGTTGTATAAAGTTTTAGAGTATCCAGTGAAAGTCTGATGCACTACGAGATACCTATTTTTACTGAAGATTACACTGCTCATTTTACCGAGCATGTTGCCTTGCAGTCTTTGCTGGGAGTGCCCCAGCTAGAGAAATACAGTTTAATCCCAAACTGGCAACTATGAGAACAGTTTATTTTATCTCTGTCTAGGAAAAGACTGATTATTGTCATATTTCAATCTAAAACTGGTACAGCTCATAATGGCAATACAATGAATTTGGTTGAGTGGCAAAAAAACCCAACCCCAAGGTTTTTGCTGTAATAGAGTCAGCTAAAGATTAGTGCTTTAAGTAACATTTTTTCAAGTGGAAACCTTCAGTGTGAACCCTTGAATTTTTCAAGCAGAAGCAAAACTGCTACATCATTTTAACACTGTCTTGTTGACACAGATCATGTCCCAGCCTTTTAAGTCACATTAATAACTCACAGGGTATCTTGTGATAGGACAGGGCACTGCAAACTCACAGTCATTATTCTGAAATTCTACCTGTTCATTTCTTCTTTCTAGTACAAGCCTTCTGACCATCACAAAGCATTGCATTCTTTCCACCACCATCCCCTTCTCCAAGTTTGTTTCATTTTCCCCTCTTTGCAGTCCACTTCGCATTATAATAGACTAGTTTCTTCCAAGTTCAGTACTCTAAGTTGAATCTTATGGGTTCAAGTAAGTTGAATCTTACAAATTACGGAGAGGGACCAGTTTGCCCAACTGCAGTCCAGTGATCTGCAATCAAAGGACTTAGATATGAGAGGTCTTTGACAGTCAATTGACAGTTTTGTTAGATTAGCCTGCCCACCTAGTTTGCCAAAAGCTACCACTAGGCCCCAGCCTAGGATAGAAAGGCTAGACAGGCAGCTTTAATCATCAAAAAACTTCCCACCCTCTTCTTTAAGAAAAAAAAAGTTGTGTGTAGATAGCAGGACACTAGCAAAGTTTGCAAGAGGACTTTTGTTACGTTATCAAAGTCCCACTGTAGATTTAGCTACAGTCATTCTTAATAGCTTTTCATAGGAGCTGTAATTTTACGTTAGTCTTACCTAGGTGGCTTGTAACCTACAGCTAGACTGTATGGGGTTTTTTTTCCCAAATAGACTCTATATTAACACAATGCCAAACCAGAAGGCGTCTTGAAAGTATTTTTGACAGTGTCCAAAGAAATGCACTGATATTACTTTGAAAGCTCTTATTTTACATTCCTGTATCTCCTCCTTGCATCTGAACACAATTAAGAGGCAGTTGTATTAACAATGCACTAGGCTTGCTTTATGTTTTAAGGGCTCTTCCTACTTAAAATACAATCCTAATCTTTTACCAGTGGGAACAAGAAGAAACCTGAGAAACTTCATATGGTCAGCTCGTTGACAGTGGTAAGTCTCATGATATTTGCATGTTTCGCAATCCCAGTCTACCATAGTGTTTAAAATTAATTATTTTAATATATGTATCTCTACTTATGTTGCTATACTATAGAGTATATGCCTCTAGCTATACTAGAGGCACTTCACTGTTTACAGTATAGAGTACTCAGAGATCTGCAATGGGAAAGGAAAATGGAGGAGAAAGGAAAGAAAAGGCAGACACAGGTGATGAAGTACACTAGCTTAAACCCTGTCAATGCTGGAGAACTTTACTGTCACAGCTATGTCCAACAGATGTTGACATATGTCTATTAACAGATGGGTGGGGTGGGGGTTGTAACATGGACCTGAAATCATAGAATCATAGAATCTTTGGGTTGGAAGGGACCTTTAAAGGTCATCTAGTCCAACACCCCTGCAGTGAGCAGGGACATCACCAACTAGATCAGGTGGCTCAGAGCCCCGTCCAACCTGACCTGGAATGTTTCCAGGGATGGGGCATCTACCACCTCTCTGGGCAACCTGTGCCAGTGTTTCACCATCGTCAGTGTGAAAAATTTCTTCCTTATGTCTAGTCTAAACCTACTCTCTTTTAGTTTAAAACCATTATCCCTTGTCCTGTTGCAACAGGCCCTGCTAAAAAGTCTGTCCCCATCTTTCTTATAGGCCCCCTTTAAGTACTGGAAGGCTGCAACTTATTGCAGGTCTCCCTGGAGCCTTCTCTTCTCCAGGATGAACAACCCCAACCCTCTCAGCCTGTCCTCACAGGAGAGGTGTTCCATCCCTCTGATCATTTTTGCGTCCCCTCTCTGGATCCTCTCCAGCAGGCCCATGTCTTTCCTGTGCTCCAGAGCTGGATGTGGTAATGTGTTTGGAGACACAGAAAGAAAGAAAAGGAAAATCCCCAGCATAAGGGTAGCGTACGCCAGAAAATTTATCTCCCACACTAGCTGTACTTTCATAAGCACCTGGCTGCCTAATGGAATAATCTTCAAAAGGCATTGTCAGAAACAAAGAAATCTTAGCTTCCATTTTTGAGTTATTCTTTTGCTATTGATTCTAACTTATCAGTACGATACTAATTACTAACTAGTCTCTTCTCAGCCACTCTCCCGCCCAAATCCATATCCAGAAAACAACAGGAGAGAGTCGCAGCAGGTTTTACAATACAATTGCATCCGTTTTTAAACAGCTGACTTGGACGCACACAGGTTTAACTTTCTTCTTTTATATGCAGGCCACAATGTTTTTGCATTTTACATAGTTAGAGCAATCATAAAGGGGACCCCAGGATATCATCTGGCGCAACGTTCTTCACAAAGTCAGGCTAAACAATAAGGTTAGAGCAGGTTGCCTAGAGCCTTGTCCAGGCAAGTTTGGAAAATCTCCAGCAGCTGCAGTTCCACAGCCTCTCTAGGCACCTGTTCCTTGACCACAATCATCTGAAGAGGTTTTCATAATATACCGTAAGAATTTCTTTTATTACATCTTTGGTTACCTGCCCTCTTGAGGACTTCAAGTGAAACTGCACATGAGCTCTTTGAAGTAGCTTAGAAAGGAAATGATAGGGCAACTTCTGTGATATTTCAGTCTCACTGACAACTGTATTAAGATTTAACAGAGTAGTTAAATTTCATGCTTAACTAGTAGCAGACTTAGGATTTATTCAGGTTTAAGTCAAGTCTACATCTGACAGAATCTGAGGTAGCTTTAGGAAAAAAGTTTTTCTTTTGTAAGTGAAAAGATTTCCCAAGTCTCCCAAATACCTATGGAAATCTAAATGCCCTTTTACCTCCTGAAGGATAGTTCCAGCATTTGAAACAAAACTTCTTCCTGCGGAGGAAACAAGAGAAAACCACTACTGCACAATAACTAGCATCGCGCTATCCGTATTCCCAGTGCTAGCACAGCATTCAGCAGAGCTCCCATCTTTCTCTCCATTTTCTGAAAACCTGCGGGAAACTAGCAGTAAAAATTCACATATAGGAGAAAAGAAAAATACACATTGGCAATTCCTGCTTCCCCACACAAATGGCAAGAAGCACTAAACTGCTCTGACCCACCTGAAAGACCAGGGCAAGTCCATTCACATAACAGCTACAGAAAAACCCGTTTCCTTCAAAGACCACCCAGCTAAAGGTGCTGGACCACACCTACACGCCAAAGAGCACAGTTTCTGTGATTTAAGGGATTATTTCACAGCCATACCTTTCAGACCATCACTACAGGCTCAGAGAGGAAAACCCATTGATCCTCTCTTCTTGGTTTGGGTGCCCCTGGAAACAACATCCCCAGACTGGCCTGAGCACTCTTGCCTATTTTCTGGCAGCGGGGCCAGACATGTCATGCACAAACCGGCATCTCCCAGGAGTACCCCAGGCTGGCACGCTGACCTGGGTGCCTCCTAAGAGCCATGGGATGCTGACATGTCCACTTCCATTGCATGTCCACAGACACATTTTCACTCAAGGACTCATACTCTTTATTATGCAATAAGAAAGACATTTTTACTCCTTTTTCTTTTTCTTTTCTTCCTCCTTTGGAGTATGGGGACAGGAACAACCTGCTCTGACCTAACTGTTCCTAGGCACTACCCTTATGGGGTGTGAGAGGTGATTTACCGTCACCCCTACAAGGAGGATAAGGTATCTCACAATTACCTGAGAGCCTGTTTAGAGGTCCCTGTGGTGCTGTGGTGACATGACAGCCCATGGCTCCTGCCTCCATGCACGTCCAATAACCAAATTTAAGAAATTTGTTGGCAAGCTGACTAAAACCAGAGTGATTGTTTTCCATTTGTATACTTCTGTACAATAAAATGCACGACAAAACTCTTACTCTCCTTAGTGCACAATCATATTTAGGATTTTATGACCATTGTTTCATGAGAAGTATTATTAATGTTAAAATGGAAATAGTAGACTTCACTTTTACACAGCTTTAAATATCCTGGCCTTGCAACTGCTTACAGTAGTAAAGACCCACCAGATGGGCAGGATATTAAGACCTTAAATGTAAGGCATCTGCGGGAGATTATTGGTGTGGTGAATCAGGAGCCCGTGCTCTTTGCTGCTACCATTGCAGAAAACATTCGTTATGGCCGTGAGGACGTCACCATGGAAGAGATTGAAAAAGCTACCAAGGAAGCAAATGCTTATGACTTCATCATGAAGCTACCCAATGTAAGCAAAGCAGCTGTCCTGCTAAAATAATTTCTCCTAGACCTCCTTGTGCAAAAGAGTTCCTTAGAGGGATTCTTGTGAACAGAGGAAGCTGTTTCCAAGAGCTGTGAATATGCAGGGCTATGCAGAGCCTCCTCGTAACTTCTGAGAATAATGTTAATTTTAAGTCTTTAGGTCATGACTTGGCGGGCATTTGGAGAACTATTAGAATTCCAGGGACACAAATGATCAGGCAGGTCTGTCCACGTGGGTGTTTGTCCTGTAGTGTTTTAGAGGAAGGAGAAGATGCTGCTGGGGTTACTAACACTGATCCACCTTTTCTTTACACCGGCTTTGTTTGCTGAAAGGACTATGCCACTGAGTGTTTTGGAAACGCTTGTGGTTGTCTTGCAGAAGTTTGAAACGGTGGTTGGAGAAAGAGGGGCACAGCTGAGTGGAGGCCAGAAGCAAAGAATAGCAATTGCCCGAGCTCTGGTTCGCAATCCTAAAATTCTTCTGCTTGATGAGGCAACATCAGCTTTGGATTCTGAGAGTTGTGCAGGCAGCACTGGACAAGGTTAGTATTGCTCATTTGTTTATAGAGCAGCAAAAAAGAGAGACCCCTAAAAAGTCTAAGGTAAGCTTGAATTTGGCAAATACTCTGTTCATAGGAAGATTGGGAACTCTAAATGGGGATGAATAATGAGATGTTTTAAAAAATAAATACATTAAAAATCTGTTTTGAAATTTGACAGCACTAGCTCTATCAGGTCAAGCAGACTGCCCAGTGGTGAAGTGTTTTTGCAAATACCCATGGAATTCAGTTAATGATGTTATGGGTAAGACTGAACTGCAGCAGACTTTCCCAAACAGGTTTTGTCTTTGGAACAGTGGAGAGCTCAACATGGGCGAAGAGCTAAATACTCTCAAGCAGCTTTGGGCATCCATGTAAGCTAAGTTCTTATTAACACCCAGCAAAGTAATTAAAAAACAATTCACAATGCCTTTGAGAGCGGATGCTACACATTGACTGCCGTTTAGACATAACTTCTAAACCACCTTGACAATTGAAAAAAATAGCCAACACTGTATTTCTTGTTGTCTTCTCTAAGCAAGTGTATGAACCATTTACAAAATAGTTCCACCTATTCCTCAGGCTGAATCAATCATTGTTGCTGTTTTTTTCCCTCCCTCTGCTTCTCTCTATCACTATGCATCTATGCTCATGCTCTGGGAGAACACAAATTCCCACCATTGCATAAACATTTTCAGCAATGATCACAGTTTATCGATGGACAATATCTTCAGAAAGCATTTGGCCGCCATATGCTATTCTGCCTCAGAAGTACCTTACGTTACCCACTGTGCAGCATTGTGTCTGGAAGAGTCAGACAACAGAATCTATGCTCTCATCTTCAAAGATATTTAGTCCCAAATTTTTACTTGGATGCTTAATGGCCACTAATTTCAGCAAGAGTTGGACTCTCTGTCCACTAGTCCTAATTACTGATAATTCACACTACGCTGTGAAACTACGCTAGCTGGCACACTCAGGAATCTTTCTCCCAACTCATGTTCTACAAAGTGAATCCCAGAGATGGAGACGTGGACAACTGCTGATTGAGACGCCTTTGGTGGGATTCCAACTAACTAACTGCTGCAATATAAAACTTATACAGCTAGTTTAAACAAGTTACTTAGCCTCTCACCTCCCCCACATATCTTTAAAATATGTCGTATGGTGAGATGAATCTCCCTGTTGATGTTTCTGGCAGAGCATGCCAGGAAGACTTGCTCAGACTAGACTAGCCCTGAGATTTCTGATATTAAGAAAGATGAAGCTACTCTGTTGTGTGCCAAGCATTCATTTGTCCTCCTCTTGCCTAATTTTTCCCTTCCTCACTCTGCTGAGCATGTACCTCTAGAGAAGGTTTATATCAGATCGAGAGTAGACCACTTTTCCCTGCAGGCTTCACCAAACCTCTGCTGAATCTCTGTTTACTGTTTGTGTGGATGGGGTGTCCTGCTTTTTATAATTAAGGACATTAACTTGATTTTCTTCCATATCTTGATGTGATTTTAACTTTTTCAGATCATCTCAGACACAGTGAAGCTTTCAGACTACCAAGAAAATGCCTACCATTTCTTATAGGATGCTTTGAATAGCTGTCATTTCCAGTTCTTACAGTCATGTGACAATACTAAGATATCAGGTTTAGCTGGAAATTCATTGAGAATATTCCACTTAAAACAATTTTCTCTTCTATTTCCTAATTGTAAAACACTTATTAAGCCATTATTCTAGCAGTTCAAATGTTAAGTGAAGATTTTTGAACTGAATTATATAAAGTTTGTGTTCACTTGTTGGGTCATCAGACATTAACACCAATTTATCCCAGCACACTCTGTAACAATGTGCCTGTAAAAATATCTTTGTGGTGTCTTAGTCTGTCATACTTATAGGATTTATTTTAGTATTTATGAGTAATTAAAAAGATGGAAAAACAACATGAGTAATAGAAGTATGATTTTAAGTACAATTTTAGATAAGTATTTTCAGCTAAGTCACATGAGTAATTCAGAGCAAGTAAAATTGCTAAGAAGAGATTAATTTTTAATTAATCACTTAGTTAAATGCTCTGAAATGGAGTTGTCACTGACTTGCTTAGTGGTAGATAGTGATTTTTCAGTGAAAACTGGGTATATAACCTGGAAGATTATTGAAGAAGCAGTTTCCAAAAAAAAAGTATATATATTTGTGTTTAGAAAGTAATAGTCTGACATGAAAAAAAAGAGCGCCTTAATTCATATTTTCAAATAAAATATGTTTTGCAGTATTTTATTTAAGTTACCTTTTTGCTTTAGTTTATCTTGGAGGAACTGAAAAATATTGTGAAATTTGACATTTCTCAGTTGACAATTTTGATCTTTACTAGAACACCATTTCTGAGGAAAATTTTTCAGTTAAAATATTTTGTTCAACTTTAATGTGAAGAGAGGAAATATCATACAAACCTGCCAATGCTAATGTAGGGCCATCGTTATGCTGTTTCCAGGTCAGGAAAGGATGCACTACGCTAGTTATCGCTCATCATTTGTCAATGATTCGAAATGTGGATCTTACAGCTGTATTTGAAAATGGTGTCTTCACAGAACAAGGGAATCATAATGGACTAATAGAACAGAAGGAAATTTACTACAAGCTTGTTAATATGCAGGTAGCTTTTTCACAAACATTTTTTCATAGCTTTCATCATATTGTGTGCTATTGATTGAGCCAAACTGAATCGCTCCCAAAGGTACCTTTAGCTTTGCAGTGTTTTCTCAGTAGAGAAACTCTAGGGGGAAAAAAGCTTCCCTGAACAGTGCAAAACTTCATACGAAGAAAACTTCATATGAAGTAAAATGTGCAAGTTTAATTCAAAGTTGTGCATTATAGGAGTTGTAAGTAATTTTAAGTGTTTCTTTAAAAGTACGACATTAAAAATAAAGTATGTGAGAAGGTAAAAAATTAAGATTGTGGCAAAAATGCTCTGTGGCCGATCGATTCTCAGACTACTTTTCCAAATTATACAATTATAAAATAACTCAGGTTGGAGTTCTGTAGTTCATCTAGTCCAACTCCCGTTGAACGCAGGGCAGACTCTGAGGTCGGAGCGGGTTGCTCACGGCCATGTCCTGTTGAGTTTGGAATACTTCCAAGGATAGAGACTCCACACCCTCCTCAAGTCACCTGGTCTAGTGCCTCCCACCCTCATTGTGAAAACTCAAACCCTTTTATACAAGTACTTTTGCAATCACGAGCATCTTAGTGACTCAGGCTCCTGGAATTTTGTCATTCAGACATGGTCTATCTTTAATATTTTTATTATCTTTCAAGCTGTCTCCTGAACTTCTCAGACAGTTTCTCCCAGGCCTTAACTTTGAAGCAGCTGGAAGTCTTGCTCCTATTCTTCATGGCTGCTTCCTCATGTTGAAAGTCCCTCTTGGTGACTTTCTGATTCTTTTTTACTTTAAGGCTCTTGTATCTAACTTTTGCATTTTAAAGAGTCTTTCCAGCTGGTTTCTTCAATTAAGTTAGTTAACTCTCCTGTATGTTTTCAGAACAGTTTAACTTGACAAAAAATGAGAGAAAAAAATCTCTGTGGCTAAAACTTATCCCTCCTTTTAAGTGTTAGTGTATTGGCAAGTTTTTCACCGAGCATAGAGAGGACTTAATGAAACTTCAGCACTTGCTTGGGCTTTGTAACATTGCTCAGTTCTCATCAATATTCCATTTACTTAACAGGAATTGTTGTTGTTATTTAGAATTTATCATCATTTGAAAGTACAGGATAATATGGCCATAAACAACTTTGAGCATTGTACTGTTTCATTTCAGGCATAGAGAAGTGAGGATGAGTTACAGGAAGAAGGTAATGCACCAGCCGCCTCAGAAGAGACACGGAAAGGATCAATACTGACGGGACAGAAAAGACAACCCACTTAGAAAAGCATAAAAAGGTTCAGAATACAGAATGATGAACCTGATGTAAAAGCTGTTCAGCTTGTAAAGTGTCTCTGTATTCTCACCTGCATGTGTTTTCCATAATTAATGGCATAGGAAAGAAACGTGATCCCATTCAAGAGGGAGTAACTTTTTAACAAAATATGCCAAGGCAGCCTACGTGTCTGGTTAAATACTCATAAATTGACAAAATCACACAAGAGTGGGAAATGGAAACAATCTTTTCCCCTGAAACTAACATTAATTTTTTGTTCTGATACTTGAAATAGTTTATTTGAGTAATATTATGAAACAAAATTACTTGAGTATTGGAATAGCCTAAGTAGCAAGTTAATTCATTTGACTATAGAACAAAACCAAACCCAGGTAATTAGTCATATAACTCACATAAAAGCTTCCCTGAAGAGTGCTAACACACTCTGAATAGGAAATAATTACTGGTTTTGTGTAAATGTTTTGCTACCTATTGTCTAAAAGGTCTGTGTTAGCAAATAAATTACTGAAAATTAAGGTATAATTATCGAGCTGGCTAATGACCTAAACCTGCAAGACATCATGTTCAGCAACAAGTAAGGAGCAATTCTTTCAATATTCAATACCACCAAATGCAAAAAGTGGTTTAAATTCGCAATTTCTGTTTCTGGATAGACACACAAAAGGTAAGTGGGATTTGCGACTAATCCTTTTAGGGAAAGGCTCAAATTGTTATTTTTGGAATAAATGAGAGCTTATATAGCATTCATGTTTTTTTTCCTTTTTCTTTTATGTTATTAATATTGGGTACTGAGTAACAGTAAGTACTTCTGCAGTTAATTAATATGTTTTTTAAAGAACAGTTAGTTTGGGGTTTCCCAGCATGGACTATGGGATAAGGAGCACATTACAAAGAATACATATGTCCCTCATTTCCCTCCATTAATGTCTTATATTTATCCTGATAGAATCATTTTATTTCAGGATAAAAGTGTACTTCCAGTTTCATTTTTTTTAAATTACGGAGTTGAATAAAACTGAACAGCCATACTTTGTTATTGGAACTTTATGCACAATTATCAACGGGACCTTGCAACCCATATTGTCAGTCATCATTTCAGAGATTATAGGGGTGTATAAAACAAAGAAGTATAAATCTTCACTGTATGCTTTACCTTTTGTCATTATTTCCTAATTACCTTTAAGATAAACCAATGAAATTACACATTTTTTTTCAATTTGCACTGCCAAGGTGAGGAATGGGCAAAGGTCCTTGCTATGGAGAATGCAAAATGTTTGCTCAATGTCTCATGGAGCCATGAAGCAAGCTGCACATCCTCAAGCAGACCAGCTCACCAGTGCCGAATGAGGAGAGGTTCTCCTGTGACCCCTCCGAATCTGCTTCACCCTTACCCCTTAAAGCAGGCAGCATGTCAGCAGGAGCAGTGCGGGCCTGAAAGGTGACCCTCGCACTGTCTTGCCCACTGGTGCTCAGCCATAGCTTTTCGGAGATATGGTGTGACACAAAGCAATGCAAAAGCAACAAGATGAAAGGGTTGTGGGACAACTCTTCTGAGTAGACTTTTTGTTATAGAGAGTGTTTCTGTGAACCTGAATTTATGCTGTTAGAAAATGAAATTACATTCTCAAGCAAGTGACACTTATGTGTACTGGTGGGAATTTTCTAACCTTTTCTGTCAGAACACATTTTGTTGGAAAGGTATTAATATTGATACAGCGCAGGAGATTATTATGGTTTTGACAGTGCAGGAGAGAGACGAACTGAGTGTGAGAGTAGAAGTATATGCGTTTATGTGTGCTTATGTACCCGTATGCCATACGGCACCAAGAAAGAATATATGGCCATGTTACTTTAATAAGTTGTAGAACATAAAGATTATGTCATCTGTCTGCAACAGGAATCTGAACCAGTTTAGAAGCAAATACAGCCCGGGAAGCTGAACCTCAGGTTCATGTTTTGAACGTTTTGGGATGAGGGTCTCAGTTTTGTTTTCTCATGTTTTCACAGTTTCACTGCAAAACAAGAAAAAGGAAAAAATGAAAACACAGCAACATCTGCATTCACTGGAGCATTTTTTACAGCCAGTCAAGCTGTAGTATATAACATGAAAGATACTGAAAAAGTCTATCTTAAAGTTTTTGTACTCATACGTGAGGTGTTACTTTCCAAAGAACTGTTTGGGAAAAGAATATTATGTTGGTGTTATACTTCAGCTTTTAATGCAAAGAGTAACAGGAAAAGTCCCTGAGGGAAGGGGAACATGCTATGCAGTTGCAATCTTTCAGCAGTTGTCGCCAAATCAGTCCAACATGGAAAATAATCAAAGTGTGGAAGATATATTGCAAAAAAAAGAGAATTAAGGTCCTTCCTTTCTAAAACATTCATTTACGTTAAAAACTTTAAAAAATGTTTTCAGGTGTGATAGGATTTATAACAAATCTGTACTGGAAAATTTAAATAATTGCATTGTAAATTTTATTGCTATGGACCAAGGTACAAAACAAGGTAAACTGTAGTGACTCTGAGCAAATAGATAAATTTTTACTAAGACAAATTAAAATTTCACTTTAAAAAATTAAAACCACATAATGACAGTTACTCAAAATTCAAAATATTCAAGCACAATGCAACAACAAACAATATACAACATCCTCAAAGATCTATCTAAAGGACTTAGAGACCTTGAAGACCTCAAACCTTACAAAACATATTTGTGCTATCCAAACTTAGGAGCATCATCTTTATTGCTGTACGAACGTGGTGAAACGAAAACTATACGATGTCCTTGCTTCATGACCCATGATTTTTCTACCGTATATAAAAGTACGATGACGGCTTGAAGATACTACATCTTTGATATTCATTTATCCACTGTCGAGATAAATAAGTGCACGGAAGCTTTAAATGGAAAATTACTTCCATAACAAAGCAAACCCTCCATACAATGTGGGGTTTCTTTTGCATTAATACATAGAAAACAATTGCTGAGTTTCATCCTAAAAAAATAATGGGTCTGTAAAATATAACACATCATATTTAGAACAATTTCCATATTTCTTTTTCACTAACTAGTCGTTGTTTAACATGCAATAATCCTCAGCCAGTGACTCCAGAAATGCTATACTAGAGTCTTAAGACATGCCTCAGCATTTTGCAGGTGTAAATTGTAATAATAATTTACTGATGTAGGTTGTTCATTGACATGTTACTGATTTTTTCTTGCCAAAATACCAATGAAGCCTTCATTCACAAAACAGGTAGTAAAATCACTTCAGATCTATAAACTTCAAAGAAAAAAAAGATCTTAGTTTAACAAGAAAAGGACTTCTTATCACTTTAAGTGTATGTAGGGCATATAGCATGTGTGTAACAAATTTAAGTAAATTAATCTTTAACATTTTCTGTTACAGAAGTTTGTAGAAAAAAGGAGAGGCTCCCATCAGGGAGACAAATAGGATGTATGCACTGCTGTTCTTAGGTTTTGGACTAATTTCTTTTGTCACTTTTTTTCTTCAGGCAAGTTTTTGTTACCGCAATTGTTCATGGTATGTGAGGCGCTGTATCTCAACTGTGCGAAGTTCTCAGCACCTTAGTGTCAAGCAGTACACAAGAAAAACAATGGGGAACCTTCACTATCAGATAGGTTCAAAATATAGTAAGAGGTTTCAAACGTTCTCTGTGCTATACGCTGACCCCCATCTCCGCAGCAAAGGAAAGTTTGGGTGTACTTACATACTATGCTACAGCTCGTGTAGGAAAACTCAATACTGACAGCACTGATAGTACTGATAGTAACTTTGGCAGCACAGGTTTAGATCGGGTTTTGAATCTTCTGTCTTGAGTAAATGGTTGCCTCAACACCTGCTCTGAGCTCCGTGCAACACTCCTGTCAGCGTGTGATGTGATTGCATTGAAAGTACGCTGCATGTACCTACATGAACCCAACCCCTTGGATTTCTAAGAAAACATACCAAAAGTAACTGAGAAACTCCACATTATATGCCTAATTTAAGATTACTCACAGCTCCACACCATGAAAGTTAAATAATATTTCATATCAGCTCTTCAGTCTATGATGTGATGCATTCTTCTGTTTGTACAAGATGAAATAATTTTGACCATATTTTCTGAAACAGCGTCTAAATTCCCATGTACACATAATTGTTCACATGGGCATGTGTATTTGCCAATGCGTGGAATTGCAGATATTGTGGGAAAACTGCCAATTCATACATAAATCACTTCACTTGTTATGTGACTTGACATGCATCTCATTCACACGCACAAATACCTTTAGTTATTGCTCAGCTACTTGTGTGGGCCTTGCCCAATCATCTGTAGGCTTCTGAACACCATCTCGCTACCTCCTGCCCCTGAGACAACAGGCGCCTTTTCTGAAATGACCTCCCACCCTCGCCCTGTCTTCAGGTAGAACCAACCTCAAAATTCCTACTTTGTGGTGCCCCTGGAAAAGAAAAGAAATTGGTGGTATAGCTGTTACGGATATTTCTCCGCCCAAATGTGGCTGTCTGTCTCCCTCATCTCATTTATTAACTATACATCTGAAAAAGACAAAAACTCTGATTAGGTAATAAAAAAACTCTTTTTTTTTCTCAAACAGGGTTTCACGTTTGGCAAAGCTGGAGAAATTAGGCTTCAATACGTGGTACTTAGAGCAATTCTGAGACAGGTAAAAACATTCTATATTTAGCTTTCTGGAGCTTTAGAAATGCTTGTTTGTTTACATACCATAAATTGTCTTTATGTTTATTTAAGTAGTCATGGTGCAAACATATCCATAAAGATACCACACTGGTTTCTTTAGTTCAGTTTAGAAACTGACTGGACTAAATCTTCATAACACGTCCAGGTAGATGTTTTAAATGGTTTTAAAACATTTTTATTGATATAACTATAGGTCAAGCGTAAGAAAGCTCAAAGGTAACGCTAGTGTTTATTTAAGAAAACCAAAGCATCTTTGGACTGAGGAACAGAGAAAGTAGGCTTGCGCTGGTACCTGCCCTGCAGGTTTCCAACGTTTCCAGTTCGTACGTCAGCACGGCTAGAACTAACTCGGGTATTTTTGCCCCTCTT